TTCACAAAAATGATGTAATATTTTGTGTCGATATTTTACCATTATTAATAAAAATTCATAAATTAGACCCAGGGCCTTTCGGGTCTCACACTTGCTATTTGCCTTCCATTGTACAGGCAGTTTGGACTTTATCACATTATTGCTCTTAAAGGTGTAGGGATTTTCAGCATTGTAGACTAAAAGTGGCTTGATGTGAAATTCTAAATATTTTAAGCTGAAATATTCTAAAAATTACATAGAAAATTATTTAAAAATTAAATATTATATTTTGATAAATTTTTATCAAAACTAAAAATCAAGAAGAACAAGGAACAAATGTATCCTGTGATAACAGTCAGTTCCTGAGAGATCTTTTATCTTCATGACTAAAGGGCTGATTAAACCAAAAAGACTCATCATGATACCCAGTCAGATGATCTTAACTCTTAACATCCATTGGATGTTGAAAAGAGTATAAAAGATGGATACGCGCCAAAATCCGTGCACATCATCGCACATCATAAGGTATCCTCTTATTATGAATTTGTGTTCCATACTTCTTGGGATTGGAACTTCCTCCCACCAAATAGAATTGGAAAAAGTCAAGTTTTACAGAGATAATATAATATCATTGTAAACTCTCTCTCATATCTCTCATACTAAGGACAGGATAGTTAAGATAGATTTAAGTTTGAAATAGTCCATTTGTAAACTGCTTTTATTTTATTTGGTATTATTAAATGTTGTTATTCCTTTGTTAACTAGTAACTAGGTGTATTTGGTATATTCAGGGCCAGACATCCTATCACTTACTCGCAAACCCTCCCACTTGAAATTCCTCTCAAAAGAGTACAAGCGTGCCTAATGCTATATCTAGGCTGGTGTCAGGAAAAACAACTTCCAAGGATTTCTAAAGAACTTCTGTTCTTCATTTTAAGTCTTAGGAAGCCATCCCTTGACATTGCGGGCCAATCTAACAGATTGCATGCCGATTAAGAGACATAGAGTTCAAGTTTTGAGAGCTCTTGCCCTCGGCTTCTCACATTGATTTTCAGGTTACCACTTGCATTAGCACAAAATAAGAGGGTGATCCTGTCCTTCATGGGCTTGTGTCCAGGTAGCACTTTCTCTTCTTGGGTTATGTACTGTACATTTGTCTAGGCATTTTTTCCAAAAAAGACCAGTCTCATCACAATTAAACACTTGATTTGAGACATATCCTTCACTTTTTACAAACTCTGTGAATTCATCCACAAATGCTTTTGCTGTTTTTTCATCTGAACTTGAAGCCTCCCCATGCATTATGGCATTGTGATTGCCATTTCATCAACGAAACCTGTGAGTCGCCGATCTGCACATAATGGCAGGATGTCCAATCAGTGCCAGTTCATGTATGGGAGCATTAATTACAGAGACAACTCTCTCTCCAATTGCAAAACAATTATCCTGGTTTATTGTATAAGTGATGCTTATGATAGCAGAATTTTCCATTGGATAACGGGTTTATGACTGTAGATTCTTCTTGAAGTTGATGGGATGACTGGAAGACAGTTGGACGGCCCCAGAGTGTTGTTGTTGGATGATAGTCCATGACAAGAGAGATGAGTTTGTATTGGAGTCAGGGAAGCAGAGAGTATTCTCACTAAGAATAAAGCCATGCAACAGAAAGTCTGGTAGAAGCTTTTCGTGTCCTTGAAATGATCATTTTTATAACTTATTTTTGGGTCCTAGACAGAAATTCCAATAGGTCACTCCAACTCACCTCCTCTTTCTAATTGGTCTTCACTCATTACTAAGTGTAATGAGATTGGAACTCAGATTGCAGGATGATCAATCTTAGGACTTACATCATTCTATTGTTTTAACATGAGAAATACACTTTTCCAAGAATTCCTTTTAAACATGCCCTTTTATGGGCATAAATTTCTCTTTCTTTTTTTAGCCGCTTTACAAAATAATATTTTTTTATATCTAATTAAACAAAATATATTTATAAGTGTGGTTTCAGTTCACTTCCAGAGCCTCAGAAACCTATCAAACCATCCTCGGCTCGTTTTAAATTCCTACCTGTCTGTACTTGTACTGGGTGTCTAGGTCAACAAGTCACTGTGTTAATTTTTAGCCTTTTCACAAATTATAGCTTCACTAACACTGTCTCCAGCAAGTTGCTTTTCATTGATCCATATTAGCAGCAGTTTTTCAACTTCATCTGAAACTTCAGATCTTTGTTTTGATATCACATTCACTCCTTTAGCCACTTTGGCAGCCTTAAATACTTCTTTGTTTTTAATAATAGTAGAGATAGTTGATTTTGCCACATTATATTTTTTAGCAATATCAACAAAACACAAATGCCATTCTCATGTTTTGCAATAATTTCTTTCTTTAATGCTACACTAAAACATTTTCTTTGCCACTATCACTTTTCTCTTTCTTGGGTGCCATTTTGATTAAATATATAAATCACAAAACTGAAAAAAAGAAGTTTAGCACGAACACTTGGAAAAGCAATGCTTACTTTATGTATGCCTAATAGCAACTGAATTTTGACGCAAAAAACCATTACGTGCATTATCCGAATTTTGTCCGTTATCCAATACAAAATTTTTGCAAAATAAAAGTTCATTAACTGATTTGATTGTTAAATGGTATCCGGAAAATTTAACAAATGGGTGCAGATGTAAACTAGAGAAGCGATTAAATGTGGATTCTCCAAAGCTTCCTTAACATCCACAATGAGAGCTTTCTGATTCATGTGCCCCATATCATGACTATGGGAGAGGGTGGCAAAGGAGTATCTGACAGATGCTCATGATACAAAGCAGTTCGCATTGTGTCTTTGCAAGTAGTTTCTTGTCAGAACAAATGAGGGCATTTACATCTTTAAAATGTAAACGCCCTCATTTGTTCTGACTTGAACTTGTTCAGCCAGAAGATGTAAAGCGTGATTCAGGCAGGTTACGTGAATAAGATTATTTAAAAAGTTCTCGTCATGCTCATAAACGGCACAGTCTTCTGCAAGCATGACATAACTTTAATTATACAATAGCATTACACATTCCTGAATAACTTGCTGTTGCCTCTGCATTCGTCCTATCCAGAAATTTACATAAAAGATGATAAATTTTAGCACAGTCTTCTGTTAAGTTTTTATACTACCATTAAAGCAACATATCATCCACATGCATCTACAGTTTCATCTACAGCAAACCATATAGCATTGTAACTAATTTCTTTGTGGATTTCTTCAAGCACTTCCTGATGAACACGTGGAAGATAATTCTTCTGCAGTGTTGATTCACCAGGAAGATTCTGATTTGTGTATTTTTCTAAGTACAGTAGAACCTTGATTATCCGGACTAATTGGGGATGAAGATAGTCCGGATAAGGAAAAATCCGGATAATCGAAACAAATACTTTAATTTGTCTTTTAATGATAATACAAAACATTTTCTTTTCGATGACATATTGGTAATATTGAAAGTAAATACTGTATTTAAATCGTGATCAAATTTTCAAGAAACAAACGTTCGTATTGAATTTGGACTACTACTGACCAATGCTAACAGACTACCTATTGTTTAAAAGGCCCTCTGGTGGCGCAAGAAAACGGATTTTATAAAATAAAAAGCAGTTGAAACTGCATTTTTATGAATAAAAATTTGACGAACTATTTATCGTTTTATGACGAGTAAAAGTTTTTCGTCGTGTTCGCGGCTTTTAAGTAATGCGTAAACCTTCGAAATGCGAGGCCCTTTGGACTGCGAGGCATAGGCGGTGGCCCACGTTGCCCATGCCTTACGCTGCCCCTGGTCATAGAAATGATGTAATTTGAAAATAAAATTATTTATAAATACGTATGTCAAATTATATTTTTATTACGACGCAAAATATATTTAAGAGTTTACGGCCACTGTGCCGGGTGAGACGTTGTTGAAACAAAAAAAGTTATGCATTCCATCATGTACATAAACAGTTTCGTAATTTGCCAATTGCAAATCAACAAATTCGTAAAATTTTTGTTCATTTTGAACAATCCGGATAATCGAAAATCCGGATAATAGAGGTCTGGATAATCGAGGTTCTACTGTACTTCCAGGGCAAGGGATGCTTCAATTTATGCAATTTTATATTGCATCCTATAAAGGTCTTTGCAGTATCTAAGAAAAATATTTCTTTGATCTTGAGATTCCATTTTTGTGAGCAGCATATGGGATGTTCGATCTTGTCGATGTGCTGTTTGCACGTTTTACAGAATGCACATGATCCTCAAAATGTGATTTCTTCATGCACAAAAATGCATATTGATATCCATTTGACCTTGCAGAACACTTTTGAGCCATCCACCGTGAAGTCTCACTCGGCTAACTTCGCTTCCCTCAATGACTTCAGCAGAAGTTGAGACACAGAACTTTTATGCTTATCCATTAAATTTGCTAGTCTGTAGTTGAATATAAAACTTTCAGGCTGTGCACACTTCTGCACTTCACAGTGTCATCAATTAAAAAGTAACCAAAAAATTACTGAATAAATTTAAATTAACTGAAAAGATAGCCAAGACACTAATTATTTTAATTTTTGTCAAATAAAAAAAAAACCTGAATGTGGCATAAAGTAATTCAACATTGTTTACAAAACGACGTTTGGTGTTTCTGTTTTTGTTCTGAAATCCAAAATGGTTTTTTTTGGTTCTACAATGGTATCAAGGACCTCATACATGACATTATTTTTCGAAAAATTATGTATGTATTTTATAAAATTGCAAGAAAATCCAATAAATCAAGCATTTTTGTTGATTTCAATTCAAAAAATTGTAAAAAGTTCATTTTTGTCAGTTAGAAGCAAAATGTGTTATTTTCAGAACTCTCCTTGGATTCTTGGATAAACTAAACATAAGTATTTATAAAAAATTACTGTAAATACAAAAATTATAAATATTTTAAGTGAATTTTAGTTTTTATAATCTCTTAAACAAAATGTAAAGAGATGTTTGTAAAAATTTTTAGCTTTTTTCTTTATAGATCCATTTCAGTTTTAGTCCAAGAGGTATTGTACACAAAACAAAACCAGATCCATGGTCTTTACAGCAAGATGTTGTTGATTTTTTCTTTAATTCAATTGGTGCTACTTTGACTGAAGTTAAAGATGTAGAATTGAGGTATATTTCTAGGGCTCGTTTCTATTTATTTACATCCTTTATATGAATATGAGTTTAGTTATGTAAAAATTATTTTTCTTTAGGATGGCCTTCTATGAAAAGAGAGGAAAAGTTGTTACTCCTGTTGAATTATTAATGGATGTGAAAAGCCATTACATTAATCAAATAATTCAGCAAGCATATGTTTTAATATTAGGACTAGATATATTAGGGAATCCTTTTGGTCTAATAAAAGATTTTACTCAAGGATTAGGAGATTTTTTTTATGAACCTTTTCTGGTAAGTGTTTCTATTCAATTTGTAATGTGTAACATTTTTTAATATTTAATGATATATAAATTCTTTAATATAAATTTTTCTTTTTTAATTTTAAATAAATACAGGTAGGCCTCCTACAATGCAGTACCTTTACAACGCGTTTTCGCTCCAATGCGGTTGGAAAAATGCGGTAATTTTCTTACAACGCGGTACTTTTACAATGCAGTTTACGGTATTTAGAAATGAATTATCTTTCACATAACAGAAAAATCGCAACGGATCACATGATACGAGCCACAGTTCGGTATACAGAGCTAAAAGTCTTTAAAAACAGTTGTTTGTTAACGTTGGCATGTTATTTATTCCCTTGAAAGTTTCAGGGGAAGACCGGTTTCTAGACAGATTTGCATCAGTTACCGTAAACACTCAAATATATCACTAAATTTTCCATCATTTATACTGTTTCAATAAGTGGGGACAGCAAAAATGGTCCAAAACACAGTATAAACTTCTATTGGGTGTATATTTTTAACAACATAGTGAAGAAAAGTTATTTTTTGCGATTTTTACTGTCCACAAAACTGATTGAAAAAATTTTAGCCATAACAATGCCAAATGAAAAGAAAGGACCGTCATTAAAAAGGAAATTTATAACTCTTCAAAGATAGAAATTTTGGATCAAATTAAAAATCAAGAGCAGATAGCTGATATTAGTAGGCATTTTAATTTAAATAAGTCGACTATTCAGTCGATTAAGCAATCAGGAGAAAAGATTAGAAATTTGGTCGCATTCGGATCATCTATTCTTGTGAAAAATATTGCTAGTCCGAGAGCACCTATAATGTAAAAAATGGAACAAGCGCTAATATTATGGGTGGAAGATATGAACAAGAAACGGTTGCCTTTAAATAAAACTGCACTTAAACACAAAGCCTTAAAAATATTTGATTATTTAAAACAAATGGGACAGTCGTCAGCTGCAGTGGCGTAGCGTGGGTGTCAGCCGCCCNGGTTGCCTTTAAATAAAACTGCACTTAAACACAAAGCCTTAAAAATATTTGATTATTTAAAACAAATGGGACAGTCGTCAGCTGCAGTGGCATAGCGTGGGTGTCAGCCGCCCAGAGCGGAGGAAAATTTTGCTGCCCCCCTTATTTAGGTATCTCAATTTAAAATTCAGTTTCGTCACAGAATAAGTAATGAACAATTCCGTGCTCATTTCAATCGGTCCGAATCGTAGGTGTGACAAAAATATGAAATGAAGTGGTTCAAATTTTTACAAGATATTATTATTATTTATTGTGAAATTTTGCCGCCCCTTAAAAGTGCCGCCTCCACTACGCTTTGCCACTGGTCAGCTGATGAAACTAGTGTTAAATTCATGGCTACCAATGGCTGGTTTGAAAAATTCAAAAAACGCCATTCAAACGCCAAGTTTTTCTCTTTTTAGAACCGAATCCCAGTTTTTGTATTGAGTTGGTGTCTCCTATAACGCGATTTCCCACAACGCGGTATTTTCAAGGAACGTATCTACCGCATTGTAGGAGGCCTGCCTGTATATAGAATGTTTTAAATAAAATTTTTCAGACTTACCTTACCTGTAATATTTTACATAATTTTTTCTTAGCCAATATACGAGTTAAACTTCTTATATTTGGAATGAAACTTTAAAATACAGTGGAACCTCAGTATACGTCTGCTTTAGAATATGTCCAATTCGGAATACGTCCTGTTTGGACGAAACAAATTTTGCTCAGTATACAACTTAATTCAATTATACGCGCCATCTATGAACAAGTAGCACTATCGGTGTATTATGCCAGACTAGACGTTCGCGGTGCCACAATTTATAACTTTGTTAAATTTCTTCTTATTTTAATTTGTAAGTAAATGTTATTATTTTTATTAATCATGAATTGCAAAAAGGCAACAGAAAAAAAATGACTAAAATCACAATGGAACTGAAAAAAAGAGATTGTTGAGAAATATGAAGGTGGCACGAGTGTTCGAGATTTAACTGTTGCATACCGTATTCCGAGAATGACAATATCGACAATCGTGAAAAATAAAGACATTATTAAATTTGCTAACGTTGAAAAATAAAGACATTATTAAATTTGCTAACGTTGCGAAAGGGGTTAAATCAATTTCTAAACATAGATCAAAGACATAAAATTGTGTCGAGAAATTGCTTTTGCTTTGGATAACTGAAAAACAGTGTGTTGGCGACAGCGTATCAAAAGCAATTATTTGCGAGAAAGCTAAAAAGATACACGCTGATCTCCTGAAAAATCAAGCAGGAACTAGCCAGGAAAGCGAGGTGTTTAAAGCCAGCCACTTTTTTTTAATTGGGAACAGATTAATCATTTTTACATTACTTCTTATGGGAAAGGTTGGTTTGGTATACGTCCTATTTGATATAAGTCCAAACACCAGGAACGGATTAAGGTCGTATACCGAGGTTCCACTGTACTATAAAAAGTAATTCATTGTTATTACAATTTTTAATTTAAATTTGAATTTTCCATATAATGCTAATCAATACTATTTTATTTGAGTCACATATTTTGGCTCTCTGATGATGATAAATGACATAAACTAAAACAAATAGGATTTCTTTTTTTTTTTGGATTTATTTTGAATTAATGTTTTCAAAGCTTTAAATTGCTTCATCTTTATATACCTCAACATTTTTAATTCAACAATGTATTATGGAGAATATTTTTAAATCTGTTGTCCATGTGTCTGTTATATGTTAAAAGCATAATTATCTACAAAAGTGAAGTATACTTATATATTCTCTATTTGTGCAGAATAATAATAAAAAGTTAACATAATAATAATAATAATAATAATAACTCTCCCATGGTCACCACCTGGTCATGGTGGGAGAGCCCAGTAATTTTACTGAACCATAGGGCAATGCAGGCTGGAGCACAAGCTCCTGGTAGGGACACCCATGCCAGTAAGTCTATGGGGAGAAATGAAGCTAAGAGTGACCACGCACCCACATTCTGTGGAGAAATTTATGATGGTAGTAACCAGATCAAAGTATGATACCGGCTCGGACATCGCCCAGGTTAACAAGGTCCGCGTTCGTGGGTTAGGCAGAGGCTCACGTTCGAAAAATAGGCTCCAGTCTCCCTTGGTTACCAGTGGCGAAAGCAGCGCCGGCCCAAGCATGGCTACTGCAATGCCCTCAACAGATGTGAGGAATCAACCTAGCCTTGGTGTTTCTGTGGCAATGCATCCACAGACCACAAAGGCTGGAAAACCACGCCAACGGATGAAATGGACAACAGAAATGAACGAGTTTATCATCCGTACTTACTACACCATCACAAGACTCGAAACAAACATGACAGCATACAGACAACAACTACACCATAGATTCACACAACAATATCCTCACCTCACTGTCACCGAACAAAGGGTTGTTGATCAAAAAAGAACAATTATACACAACAACCTTATCCCACAAACAACACTTGAACTTATCAAACAACAGGTTGCTGATCAAATACATCAACAGACAGAAACATTTAACATTAATGAAGATCACGTAACCTGTCAGGATAATCCAGCAACAAGCATTGATAATAGCACACATACAACAACTACCACTAATGATACTACAGGCACTTCCTCATCCATCACTGATAACATAGACATAGAATTAGTTAATACGCTCTCACTTATATTTCAGGAAACACTCATTAAATATACTGGTACAGATCCCACACAAAGACCACGAATACCAAAAATCAACACGTCAAAGGCAGTAGGAAAAACACTAGATTATGTAAACACTCACTTACTACCAAACTACATTCATTCAATTTCTACACTCTCAGACATTCATACATTAGTTTATGCTGGGGCAGTCACAGTAGTAACACACCATGGACTGAAAATACACTCACAGACAGACACACACAAAACACAATTCTATCACAAGCCTGCCTGGCAGAGAAGAATAGAAACACAAATAAATGACATTAGACAGCAATTAGGCAGGCTGACACAATACACTAAAAACAACATAACACCCAAATTAAAGAAACAACTCAAAAACATTTTCAAGAAAATCAAAACACACACAAAACATGAACATCACAACACACACATTACAGAATACATCGATACACTAAAACAAAAACTCGCAGCCAAAGCACGTAGACTCAAACGATACAAAACATGTACACTACGAAAACAACAAAATAAATTATTCACAAACAATGAAAAACTTTTCTACAGACAAATCAGTACCAAAACAAACACTGATACACAGCACAGTGGCACACCAACAGAAGAAGAACTCACAACTTATTGGTCTTCTCTTTGGTCCAATGCTGTTACACACAATGCTGATGCAGGCTGGATCAAGGAGGAGAACAGAAACTTGCATAACATACCAAGTATGCCCTGTGCTGAAATAAACATACACGACATTCGCTACGCTGTTAACAGAACACACAACTGGAAGACACCTGGTGTAGACAACATTCACAATTTCTGGTACAAAAAGTTTACATCACTGCACCAGGAACTAGCTAAACATCTAACACACATCATCATCAATCCACAAGACATGCCAAAATTTCTTACTCAGGGCATCACCTACATGAAACCTAAAAACAACAACACCACAGACCCCACACAATACAGACCAATTACATGTCTTCCAACACTCTACAAATTATTGACATCCTGTATCACAAACAAAATATACAAACATGTTGAAGAACACGACATTCTTACAGAACAACAAAAAGGTTGCCGTAGAAATCACAGGGGATGCAAAGAACAGTTACTCATAGATTCAGTCATTCTACGGCAAGCACACAAACAACACAGAAACATACACATGGCATATATAGACTACAGAAAAGCATTCGACAGTGTTCCACACAGTTGGCTGCTACATATTCTACACATGTACAAAATACATCCATCACTCATTGCATTCTTCGAAAACACTATGCAGCACTGGAGAACAACACTACATCTCAGGGTTAGTA